ATGTCATAATCAAATGATAGGAAACCTCAAATACCGAACTCGCTCATGAGTGTTGGCAAAGAAGATGACGACGTGAGCGAAAATGTGGTGGACAAGAAACGGTGCAAGTGGAGGGAGACGAAAATCGATAATCCTCAAACGTCACATGAACCTCAATCTCCACAATTGCTCACTTCCGCATGTCGATTATTGGATGGACCAAACTGCCTTGCCTGACGCAATCACTCTCTTGCAACGGACACGTCCTACGACAACACGGGGCCGACGAACTCATCGCCCGGGGTGTCCTCTGCGGCATCAGACGTTGATGAAGCGTCATCGTTCGACGAAACACAGTCGCTGCTTTCGGCACGAGGCGGTGACGAAGGAAGCGCGCCGTCATCGGCGGCCACGTCCTCGTCGTCGACCGACAGCCCGAAGTCGGCGTCATCGTCCACTGTCTCGAAGATCGGGTCCTCCACATCACGCTGCTGAAGCATATAACGGGCCCAGTCTCCCACTCGTCCTGTCCCGAAGACCTCGGCGGCGATATCAAACCGCCACGATGTGTCCTGTGTACCGTAGACGTGCCGTATCGCGGAGCGGCGACGGTGGGTCACGTTCGTTGGTCGTCGGTAAATGGAGCGTACTGGTTTAATCGCTTTGTTCTTGTTCCACTCCAATGCTGTGCAGCAAACACGCGCCTCATACGACTTAGTGAAGTTCAATCGTTTCGTTGCGTATTTGTTGATCACAGAATGGAAACATTTGTTGTTGAAGGTAATTCTGGCACGCGTGTAGTAGGCCATCTTCGTATTAGATGCGAACTGCTGCAAACAACAAGAAATCGCCGAATGAACTCGACCTCCCTTTTCGTACAAGGCCGCTCGTTCATGGCCGCCAGCAGCCTTGCACAGGTTCGGCAACTCCTTCTCGCATAAGGACTGATCCCCCGCCCAATGGTTGGCCAAGTGCTGCACGTGTGTGGCCAACAAATCGCCATCGTCGTCCCCAGCACTCTTGCGTAGCCTGCAAGCAGCGTACAACCATTTTTTGGCTTCCTCCGCGGCATGAGAGTGCAGCATCTCCAACGCATCGATCTCGATGGCGTCGTCCGACAACGGTTTGGCCACTTGATCGGGAAACAGCACAACCCACACCAGTTCAACGACCTCATCCTTCTTCTGCGCGCCCACTGCCTCCACGCGCACGCCTCTCGACTCGAGCCATTCTCCGAGCTCCTTCTTCGTGAAACACTTCACCTCGCGCACGTGCGCGCATGCGCCAACGGCACCCGGTTTCACAGTCTTTGTTGCACGAACGACCTCTCGCAGTCGTTTTATCAATGCCTTCACCTTGTGCCACATGCACTTCTGCGAGTCAATGTTCATGCACCGCAGGACTACGTCGACAGCGCCACAATCGTCATGCACGACCTCGACGATTATCAAGTTTTTCTCGTCCTTCAACCGTTGCAAGAGCCTTTCGACACACTGCGTCTCTAGCCGCCAAAACGACTCGCCGCCCCTCTCCATCGTTTTCGTGCCCACTAACATCCCGGACTTCAAATCCACCGCCGAAACCGTGCAATGCTGAGCATCCCGGGACGAATCATACCTGTCGTCAACCAGAACGACAACCGGATCCCTTGAGTGTCGCAAGAGAGCAATGACTCTATCGAAGCTCCTCTGCGTGACACGCTCGACATGACGTAGCCACTGGCGCAAACCTTTCCCTTCGTCGTGAAAGAAATTGTAGAACGTTTCTTTCCTCACCTCCTTCATCCCAAAGCCCGTCAAGAGGTTGTTTAGTTGGGTATAGGTCAATCCTGCCGCGACAATTAAGTGGAACAATTGACTTTCAATCCTTGATTCTCCCACCCCCCCAGTTCCGACTTTCGCCGAACTCCAATGCCACGTGCACCCTTTCCCGCATTGAAACTGCAACTTGCAAATATGGCAAGGGTATGATTTTTTTTTTATTTCCACCTCAACGTCCTTATCGTGCTGCGGACGCGTTTTCTCAAACATGCCAAAAATCTGAAGTAGTTTCACCGGTTCAATAAAAACGACATCCGGACGCGCGAGTGTGTCCCACCTTGCCATGAGGTCCCGCACAGTCAGCCTCTCGAACATTGGACCAATGTCCGCATACCCTTCCTTGCCGTCACGCCATCGCAAAGCGTTGTTCGCAGGCCGACCACCTCGCGACCGGGGCGCGTCGCTGACCCGCATCCACGAGAAGACCCACGACCGCGAGAACCTCCATGTTCGGACGAATGCTCGCTCGGACCGAACTCCGTCATCGGTCCATTCAAGAAGCTGGTCGAACACATTCTCATAAGAACAACTTTTCTTTTGCACATCCCCTGAACTCCTTGCAATTTCTGTGAATTTCTTGGTCAGCGCACTCGCAAGCGAACTAAGAAGCACCTGCTGGTCACGTCTACAACGCACCCATCTCGGATCCCCCGTGCGAGGAGTGGTAGACCTGCTGCGAGGCGTTGAGGGCGAGGGACTCATTCCAACGTCGCTGTCGTTCGGCGTTGGCATAGCATCGCGACCCTGGGTCGGCGACTGACAGTCGAATGACGCACCCCGGATTTGCGCGGCCGTCCGATGTCGATCTACGGCTGGGGGGGTGCGAAGGCCCCCCTTGTTTGGGCCCGTGAGAGCCCAAACAAGCGCTCGCTGGGGGTGGAAAAGTTGGTGACGCGCTTTCAGTCGGACGAAGGCGAACAGTGTCATGCACCAGAGTAGCGAACAAAGGAGGGCGAGGAATTGATGAAGCAAAACCCCCCACTGTACCTCGGGCAATGGAAGTCGCATATTCCACCGCTTGACTCCCCCCCACCAAGTAGTGCGTCTAAACCGGTGCGCGGCGTCGGCAACGTCACAGCTAAAGACCCCATCGTCGACGACACTGGCGGACGAACGGGCGACACAGATGACAACACGAAACGGGACAAAGAGGGATTCCCGGAAAACTGAGGGAGAGGAGGAATAGCGGCGATCACACTCTGCAATCGACTCGGAAGCTGAGTTTGTGTCACAGTCGTCGTCATTGGCAACGGAGGAAACGGGAGTGCCGCCATCGTTGCCTGGTTGCCGGCCGGGCCAAAATTGCATCGCTTCTACTGCGTCCACGCGGATCCAAAATCCCTTGCCGCCGGCCTCGCGATATGTCGTGGTACACAGGCGATCCTTGTTGCGACGAGCGCGATGGCGAGGGCGCCGCATTATCTGGAGGAGTTGGAAGCAATGCAGATTGCGGCGATGCCGTTGGGCGTGCAGGGGAACGTTGGTGTTCCATGCTCACACGCAACACAATCTCATATAAGACACCCCAGAAGACCTACACAGGTGGAGGCACAATCGCACGAAGCAGAGCCACATTACAATGGCCACCAAAAAACGAAACGGGGTACAAGCTCGAGGCACCCGCGATATGCACACCGTAAAGCTGAGTCGGCCAGTGAACCGTGCGCAGAGGTCGGGTAGAGGACAACACACACACACACACACACACACACACACACATACACACACATATATATATATACTCTTGAGAGTCGGTGAAACTCCAGTGATACAATTTGTCACAGCACGTAGTTTGTTGTCTTCTTCTCTCTCACTGCCCCGGTTCACCGACTAGTTCTCTCTCTCTCTCTCTCTCTCTCTCTCTCTCT